AGCGGCCACCAAGGGGCTGGGGGTGGCCACCAAGGGGCTGGAACCCGACGGCTTTGTCCGAAGGGAAAGGGTTAAAACTCCAAGGCGAGAGGGGCCAGATCCTGGCCGCGGAGCGGAGCCGGGGGTGAAAAGCGCGGAGCCGGCGGGGTCAGGCCCCTGCCGGTGCGGTTGGCCTTGGGGAGGGGGAATACGCACCACTCCGCGCCCGCGGGCCGCCCCCGCGCAACGCTGCCGTCGGAGAGCGGCCCCGGGTGGGGTGTGGGGGTCTCGGCTCGGCCCACAGCCCCTCGCCCAGCCCGTGGGGCCACCTGGCTACATCCCCGGCGAGGCGCGGAGAGCAGCGGATTTTCCGCGGGGGCGTCCGCTCAGTTATTTAATATAAAATGTATTTTTAAACACCCGCTCGGAGAGCAACTCGCCAATATTTATATTTCCACGTTGCCTGGCATCCACTGTCCCACATTAGACTCTGCCTCTCTCTCCCTCTCTCTAATCCTGCCACTTTAAATAGATGAATTAATAAAGCAAATGAGGGTCTAATAAGCTGACTGTCCTGCCTATTGAGGCAGGGGGAGAGAGACTAGAAAGTGCGCCAAATTTGTTTGCAGTGGATCAAGGCTAGCCGCCTTTGCTTCACTTTCTTTATCTTAATTCCGACTTGAAAAGATATAATTATCTAGTTTGAACAGAGCTGCTATCAAATCCTTCTCTAGGCAAGGCAGGGGAGAGCTGGAGTGGATTGCAGTGTTCTGAGCCGCTTGGTGCAGCCGGAGATAGGGAGTAATGAAGTTGTGGAGTCCTGAGATACAAAGGGCATTAACCTCATTAGCATGAAACCTTTTCTTCTAACCATTGTGGGACCCTTTCAGACTCCTAATCCCCCCTATTTTCAAAGCTTGGTTTGTAATAAAGCTTTTAGGGTTTTTTTTCAAAGCTAATGGCATTCTCTGAAGATTTTATTGCTGTTACGCTACATAGGACGCTTAATTTTTTTTTCCCCCCTCTCTCCCTCTCTTCTCTCACGGTTTAAAAAAAAAAAAAAAAAAAAGGAAGGGGGGGTCGAAAAAAAATAAAATATATAATTCCTGTAGAAATAAGCCTTTTATCAAGATGGGAAACAATTTCTAGAAAGGCCCGAGTCTGCTGTTCAGCCGCGCCGCGTTTCATGTTTGCCCATTTGCATGGGTTTGAAGCGGACCTCAAGCCAAATTGGGCGAGTTGAGGTGAAATGTGCGGCCCCGCTCGGTGTCGGGATCCGCACCATCAGCTGCTCCAGGAGCTGGGAATGTTGGGGGGGGAAAGGCGAGGAGAGAAGAGTTTACCTTGGGAATAGCTCTGCTAAATAATCAGCCTTGGTTTCAATGGAAGGGACTGCATTGCGACAGGCGTCCTAACCCTGCCTGGGCCTCTCTCATATTTGTAGCACCAGTGAATGGAAAGTCACCGGGATTGTATAAAAGGAGTAATGATTAGAAAAAAAAATTATCAGATTTAAAAAAAAAAATAAAAAAAAATAAATTTACATAGTACCCGCTAGAGCCAACACGTGCACAGAATGTCTAATCTTAACTTTTCAAGGCAGGATGTTTAACAAAGCTCGTATTTTCGCGATGCATTGTAACTTCGCCTTATCACAGTGTAAAGGGTAGTCAGATTGTCCTAAATTATGTCCAACTAGCCCCCCTGGATCCACGGATTAAGAGATTAAAGGAGACCACTGGGCAATGCCTCCTCTTTCCCCTTCATATTCCTGGTATGATAATTGCCTAAACTGATTTGCACTTTCACAAAAGCTTGCAGGATTCTTTGTAGCTCGAACAGAGCAGACGAGGTTTCTCTATCAATGGAAATAAAACTGATTAATGCAGTCTATCAGGCTAAGGAGCAAATGAAGCATGAAAAAACAACTGTGTACCCCCAGAAAACCAGCTAGTTTCCTCAAGGACCCAGAGCAACTTTTTTTTTTACTTTTTTTTTTGCCTTTTTTTTTTTCCCCCTCTCTTCTTGCCTCCACGTCTTCAATGTCAGAGTTTTACCCTGTGCCCGGGATCGCTCCCTCAGAGCGCCATCCCCCTCCCCGGACCTGCTCCTCACCGCAAAACCCCTGGCCAGGGGATTTAAAAGATGGGGGAAAAAGAAAAAAAGAAAAAAAATATTCTCCCTCTAAATAAAATACCTATTTTTGCCAAGGAAAGCCCTTCTCCGCGGAGCGCGGCTGCTGCGCACCCGCTTCACCCTCCCACTCCACTTCAGTTTCTCACCAGGGAAGGGGTTGGGTTTGTTGGTTTTTGGTTTGAGCTTTTTTTTTTTTTTTTTTTTTTTTTTTTAAAAAAAAAAAAAAGGTATTTATTTACAGCAAGTGGGTCTCTGCGGCTTATTTTTAGAGGTCTATTTACCAGGCAGTGAATTCATTAAGAAAACGCGCCTATGGCCGCAGGAATGCGCGGCGCGGCCGGGGGAGCGCAGGCTCCGACCGCAGGGGTTCCGCAGCTAAAAACAAGGTGGGGTGTTGAGGGGGGGGAAAAGGACCCGTTTCCGAGAAATTTGGGGGGGAAAGGGGGAAAATATATTGCTTAAAAAATTAGGGCATATTGATAAATCTTTATTGACAAAATATTGACAATGACATACTTCTTGGAAGTATATAGTGTGTTAGAATTCTAACAAATTAAACACAAAACACAAAAATATTTACATTCTGGTATAGAAGACATGAAGGAAACATTTGTCACTTTTTTTTTTTTTAGTAGCTCTATGATCTCGGAATATTATAAGGTCAGTGCTTGAAAGTTGCCCCAATGAAAATGGCCATTAGAAAAAAAAAAATATTAAAAAAAAAATCAATCTGCGATTTTAAGTCCCTTTTCTCTGGATCCTCCCAGTCTGGGAGATGTCCCCACCGCCAAACCTGGTCGCTGGGTTTGCGCTTTATTAATCTTAAAAAATAATCATCATCCGGTTTTGCAATGGGGATACAACTGGGGGAG